CGAAGGGATATGCACAAGAACACTCACACTTGCAGATAATATCCACTTGACCTGGCTTCAATGGCTGGATGATCAAAATTCAACTAGAAGAAGAAAGAAGAGGAAAAAGAGAGTAACCTGATACAATTTGATGAACTTAGACATACATCTATGGATGCAGTAGCTTAAAAGAGGGAACAAATCTTTATAGTGAGGATCATTCCCACCCCCTCAATACGCAGGGTAGACAGGGATGGGCAACTTGGACATTGGCTACCCAAAATACGGGGACTACAAAGGCAAGAAGTGACTGGATTACAAGCTTTCAAGAGGAAGCCTAAATTCAGAGAGTGCAGAGGAAGGTAGGCTCTCCAATGAGTAGTATCCAATTTGTCTAGGCAGGGCTGATGAAGGAAGATGGGGATAGGACTCTTGTAGTACAATAGTGAATAACTGCTATCAGGACTGACTGTGAGGGTTGGAAATGTAAAGGTAGACATTTTGTAGCAAAAGGAGGGGAGTGGTTGACTTTGCTCAGCATACAGATTGAATAAGTATGGTGAAATAGTACAACCCTGATACATACTTTTCCTAATTTTAAATCATTTGGTGTGCCTTGTTCTGATCGAACAACTGCCTCTTGATCTATACACAGGTTCCTCATAAGCACAGTTAAATGTTCTGGAATACTTATTCTCCACAATGTTGTCCCTAGCTTGTCACGAGGTACACAATCAAAAGCCTTTGAGTAGTCAATAAAGCATAGATAAACATCAAAAAAGAACTGATTGTGAGGGCTGTAAATGTAAAGGTAGACATTTTGTGGCAAGGAGGGGAGTGATTAACTTTGCAGTCTAGAAGGAGAGGTCCCTGGAACCATGAAGGGAGAAGAGTGGAGAGCAGGACCCTACCCAAAAAAGCAGTGATCCCTGAGATGGAGATGTACGGAAGGGATTGTAACCACGGTACTGAAACAATATACGATAGGATTAATGTAAAACTAATGTTCTCCCATGTAAACTATCACATAATTCACAATAAAACTTTGAAAAACAAAAAATATATATCTCTAGAATACAACAGCACTGTGGGTTAATGTGCTGGACAGCAATGTCGGTTTGAACTGCAAGGTCAGTGGTTCAAGCTCACCAGCTGCTCTTTGGAAACCCTATACAGAGTCTGTATGAGTCGGAAGAGATTTGACAACACTTAATGATAACAGCACAAAGTCCAAAGTTTATTATCGGGGTGGAATGAAAGGGAAAAGGGTGAATCACTGCTTAGAAAGCATTGAGTATCTCTTAATAGTGACAGAAAACTTAATAGTGACAGAATACTCACAATGGTTGCACATGATCAATGTAGTGCGTATCACTGAATTGCACAAATGAAAGTGCTGAACTGGTGAAAATTTTGTGATGTACATTTTTACCATAGGGGTGGGGAAGGTAGGGGAAGGAAAAACAGCAATCAGATACCATCTCACACCTACTGTATTGGCTACTGTAGTCCTGGTATTGCACTGTAGGATAAGCACTGGACCGCTAACTGAAAGGTCAGCAATTAAAACTCAACAGCAGCTCCTTGCAAACCCTATACAGGGTCGCTATGAATTAGAACTGACTTGACAGCACCACCATAGGCCTTCTAAATTAATAAGAGTCCTCATGTAGTGCTGTAGGATAAGCACTGTACTGCTAACCAACTGGACTCAGAACAGACTCAACAACACTTAACAGTAACAACATGATGGCTATTATAAGAAAAATGAAATAAGTGTTGGTGAGGATATGGAGAAACCGGAAACCTCATGCATTGCTGGTGGGGACGTAAAATGGTCAAGCCAGTGCAGAAATCAGTGTGCTGCTTCATTACCATAAGACTGAGGAGTTCCACTTCTAGATATATAGATACCCAGAAGATTTGAAAGTAGGTACTCAAACAGATACATGCATACCAATATTCACTGCAGTATTATTTCCAATAGTCAGAAGTTGGAAACAAAATAATTTTATTAACTCAAAGTTATCCATAATTTTCAGAGAAAGTAAATATAAAAATAAGATTAAATACACACATTCAAAATGAACTATGATAGAATATATCTGTTTCATTAGAGAGTTTACTATCTTACAGTACTATACTGTTAATTGCTTATTAATTTTCTTTCCTAATTTTTTCATAGTGCTTTCCATAGAAGGTCATTCCTGTTAAGTGCCATCGTGTTGGTCCCAACACACAGCGGTCTTCTGAGTATTGGGCTTCCAAGGAAGGGCTGGTGGGTTTGAACTACTGATGTGCAGGATAGCAATCCAATGCTTATCCTACAGCACCACACCAGGACTCCAGAGAAGGTCACTGTTGTTGCTTTTAAGTGCCACTGAGTTGGTTCTGACCCATAGCAACCCTGATTAGGGTTTCCAAGGAGTGGCTGGTGAGTTTGAACCACCAACCTTTCAGTTCAAATGACTTTGTTGTTGTTGTTGTTAAGTGCCATCGAGTCGGGTCCGACCCATAGCGACCCTGTACAGGGTTTCCGAGGGTGTAAATCTTTACGGGAGTAGAAAGCCTCATCTTTCTCCCGCGGAGCGGCTGGTAGTTTCGAACCGCTGACCTTAAGGTTCGCAGCCTGATTCGTAACCACTACGCTACCAGAGCTCCTTGCAGCGCATTAATACAAAGTGCCACACCAGGATTCCAGTCATAAATACTCATAATTGCCCAAATTTGGTAATCAGCTAAGAAATTACCAAAGAGTTTCAGAAAACTGACATTTATTTTTTTGTTACACTTTAAAAGAGAGGTGAGAACTTCAATTAAAAAACAAATTCATGGGGACTTCTGGCGCTTCCCTGACCGGGCAGCACAAGAGTAGACACTGGAGAGGGAGAGAAAGGAATAGTCAGAATCACCACACTAGAAGGCTTGTAAGTCCGTCTTCTGCCTATGACTGACTGGAATACCTAAAATGGGGCTACAGTGTACCCAGTGAACGAGGCTTCTTGCGGAGCCATTGCAATATATGAAACTATAGGTAGAAACCAGAACTACATCCAGATCTCCAGAGATAAGAAAGCTCCACTTGAAAGGACGAGCAGACCAGCCTGGAGTGGCTAGAAGAATAAAAGATACTTCGTGAAAGAAAGACCTGCAGGAAAAATGGAGGCAGATGGACTGTTACTACAAGGACAAACAAATCGCTTCCCTAGGAAACATCAAGGAAAGTGGCCAGGTCCTCTCAACGCAAACCCCCTTCCAAGACTAAGACTCAACAGAAATGCACGCTCTGATTGGTGACTGCACACATCACCGATAGGGGGAAGTGGGGTAAAAGCAGCAATGAAGTGGCAAGCTAAGCCCTACAATGTTCAGTGGACTTCTGTGGACCCAGCTGGGGACCTGGTTGGCAAGCAGTGTGAGGACACCTAGGGACTCGTGGGCCCAGAGTCAGTGGCGTGGCCACAGAGGACTCGAGAGGAGAGTAGAACTATCGGCTGACGGGAAAAGAGGGCATGTGCACAGGAGCGCCCACACTTGCAGATGATACCCACGTGACCTGGACCGGATGACTGGATGATTGGAGCTCAACCAGGAGAGGAAAGAAGAGGGGAAAAAAAAAAGAATGAGCTGATACAATCTGATGAACTTGACCTATACCTATGGAGCAGCAACTCAAAAGAAGGAACAAATCCTTACAGCAAGAAGCATTTACACCCCCTCCACACACAGAGTGGACCGAGACGGGCAACTTGGACATTGGATACTCAAATGGGGAGGGGGAGACTACAAAGGCAAGAAGTGACTGGCTTACAAGCCTTCAAGAGGGAACCTAATGCTAGGGAGCATGGAGGAAGGCAGAATCTCCAGTAGGTACTACTCAATCTGTCTGGGCGGAGCTGATGAAAGGAAATACAGATGGGTAATTTGTGATACTGTAGTGAATAATGCGTAACAGAACGGACTACGAGGGTTGGAAATGCAAAGGTAGACGTTTTGTAACAAGGAACGGAGTGATTAATTCTCCAGGTTAGGAGCAGAGGTCTCTGGGACCATCAAGGGAGAAGAGCTGAGAGCGGGACCCTACCCAGAGAAACAGAGATGCCTGAGATAGAGACAGAGACGACGATGTGGAATGATGAAGTGGCTGGGGACTTTGGACCCAGAGAGGGAAAACTGTGGGCCGAAAACTGGGGTGGGGTGGGGTGGGAAGTGTGTGTGTGGGGGGTTCTAGGATATACCCTTTGGTTGGTTGATGATGCATGGAGGGGATTGGAACCATGGCAATGAGATGATATACGATGGAATGAATGTAAGACTACGGTTCTCCCATGTAAACTGTCATATAATTCACAATAAAACATTAAAAAAAAACAAATTCATATAATAAGATTAAGAAAATTTAAGCATTCTAAAAACAGTAACCATAAAACTTTTTTTTTTTTTTTAAACTGCCTGTCACAGATAGTCAATACTCAGAGGCAAGGCTCAGAGGAAAGGAGAGCTAGAATCGCTCAGACCTGCCTCCCAGACTGGAGGGCAGCCTGGGGTTATTTAGGGGAAGAAAATCAGGGTTGCAGAACTTATGGAGGCATTATTGTGTTGTGTTTCCATTTCAGTAGTTAAGGTGGTCACATAGGTCAGAGGAGTTGCCTTTCTCATTAGGACCACAACTTCTTTGAAGAATAAAAATAAGTGATTAATCTTGTTAATTAAAAAAGGATAGGTTAATTATGGGGTAGTGACTGATTATGACAGGTAATTAGGGAAGACAGCTAGGTAGGTGGAGTGATTGATTATGGAGGAAAGAAAGGGAGGGAGCTATATTTAAACAATAGCCATCATACCAAAATAACTGTTTAGGTTCTATTTTAGTTTGGTCAAGTCAAAACTTTCCCAGTGCCCTCAATTTCTCAATGCTTTCATCTCCCTGTTTCAACAAGGTCATAATTCATACAGTAGAGGTTATCATTAGATTATAACAAAATCTTAGCACTTAGGAGTTCAGACATGTTTGTACTTACTGTGTTCTACCAAGAGGGACACCTCCCCAAGTCAGAAACTGCTTGTTGGATAAAATTGGTGGAGTATCTGAGCAGCAAGTTTCAAGAGTCTCGGGTTTATTTACTGAAAAAACTACTTCACCTTTTAACACAACTTCATATTGAGGTCCAAATGGCTGCACAAATATTTTCATGATCCTAAAAAAGAAAATAATTTTGTTTTACTGAATTCCCGTTATACAATTATATGAATTATACAATTCATTTGGTAAATACTGCCTGCATGCTTCCTCTGTCAAAGGACTGAGCTAGGTACTAAGGACACAGTCATTTCCACCCTTAGAGGTTATACTTAAGTGAAGAACACACACAAGGAAATAGACGATAACAATTCTATCTCAATAGTGAAATCTGAGAAGTTGATGGTATTATAGGAATATTATTTATAGGAATTTGGGACAAATCAAGGAAAGCTTCCAAGAGGAAGGCATTAACCTAGTGACATTACCAATGATAATAGAATTCTGACTCTAGGATCATATTCACTTATAATTTGGGTGCCAAAAAGCTATAAGCCTAGAAAAGGAATGGGGAAAAGTATCTTAAATGAATAACTTAAATGAGAATGTCACTAATGGTTAATTTGGAGAGAGAAGAAAAAGCTAATGAGAGCATCTAAATTGACGTTTTTAGTATTTACTTTTGTTAGAATATACTTAAAATAGTGATTTCTTAATTTCTAGTCAGCTAGTTTAAAAGGATATTTTTAGTAAATAAAAAGAGGACACCCTAAAGCTAAATGAAGAGGCTAAGGAGAGCTATGCCATGTATCTATTAGATAAAATAAAATATATAGTTTATTATTCAGGCTTAGAGAGAAGTAGATTTAACTAAATGGCTGTTTTCAAAGATGAATTAAACTTGTCATTATAAACAATTTTCTATTACCTTTTCTCACAGGCTTTGGAATCCTTTGGAGTAAATGAAACTGTAACTTCACGTTCTTCTCCAGGTTTAAGAAATAGATGTTCAGGGTCCACTGAAAAGTGACTTTCTAGTTCTGGGATCTAAATATTTACATAATTATAACTCAATGCCTACTTATGCAAATCCAGGTTTTATTCAGTTACTCTTTTAGTCTTAAGCCCTTTTTTCATGTACAGTGGAGTCTCTAAGGAGTCCTGGTAGCATACTACGTTATGAGTTAGGCTGCTAACCACAATGTCAGCAGTTTGAATCTACCAGTCATTTAGCAAGAGAAAGATGAGGGTTTCTGCTCCCATAAAGATTTTACATCCTCAGAAAACCTATATAGGGTGGCTATGAGTCAGAACCAACTCAGTGGCATACAACCATATACTACCAATGACTCTCTGTACCACTTTGTCTTGTTTTCTTGTAAAAAGAGACTTTACCCTTCTCTCCTCTCCCTAACAAACCTTATCCCTCATGCATTCCTAGTTCCTTATCACTAGCACCCATCAACTCACCATATGACTCAGAAATAATTATCTGTATACAAGGAACACTCTCAATTCTCCTCTTCCAGGTGGCATATGTATTCTCAAAATTAGACTAGAATTTGGTTCTTCTATTCAAAACATTAGATCTCAATGTTCAAGTAGCACATATTTTAAAAATACATGTACAAATTTTGATTCTCACAACAGTGACTGGGCAGGTAACACAGAAACCTTCAGATTGTAGTCTCTACAGAAATATATCACTTGGATAAAAATCCTTACCTTAATACTTAAACAAACTTCAATGTTCCCAGCATTTTTCAAAGGTAATTGCTGCTTTGTTGAAGAAGCCACACTGGCAAACAAATGCATGGTCTAGAGGATAGAATAAAACAGGCATTTAAGAAAAAATATCTTAATTCAAATGGAAGCACCTGAACATAGAGCAATAATGAGGAAAAAGAGAGTTGAGGATACCTGTAAGTCTTTTGGAGCATGTATCCTAGCTATTCCTATTCTTGCTCGAAGATTAACACTTTTTATAACTGGAGAAGGGTTTGGGCTATCAAGTTCTATATCAACTCTTGCCAGGAATTCTTCTGCTGAGTCCACAATCTCTATAATAGAACATTCTTTTAGTCCAGAGACCAGAGCTATTTAACTCTAAATACTACTAATGGACCAAAATAGTACCCCTAGCACAGTGGTTACAAATCAGGCTAATAACCTCAAGGTCAGCAGTTCGAAACTACCAGCTGTTGCATGGGAGAAAGATGAGGCTTTCTGCTCCCATGAAGATTTATAGCCTCGGAAACCCTGTGCAGGGTCACTATGAGTCGGAACCAACTCCATGGTACTTAACAACAACAATAACGGTAAAAATACAAAACAAACTTAGCCAATAAAACGTTTAAGGTATTTTAAAGAGAAATAGAAATAAATGGGAAAGGAGAAAAATGAAAGAAACAACAAAAGGAAGATTAAATGAGAGAAACAATCCCCTAAAGTTTTCAGGTTATATACCCCCTAGCTCAGGTTATATATCCCCCAGAACAGCAAGCCATCCATCTCATTTAAAAAAACAATTAAAAAAAAAAACTTGAAAAGTTACCCCCAGTATCACCAGGATGACACAAATGGCTTATGCTAAGCTGGTAACCAAAAGGTTGGCAGGTTGAATCCACCAGAAGCACTGTAGAAGAAACAGCCTGGAGATCTGCTCATGTAAATATTGTAGCCAAGAAAATACTATGAAGCAGTTCTACTCTGTAACATATGGATCTCCTAAGTCATAAATCATCAACCAAACAAAATCAACAACCAAAATATTTACATTTACTGATAGAGGAAATAGTCTTAATCTTGTTAACTGTAAAGTAAATCAATTCTCACAAAACATAAATGTAATACCTGAAAAGCAAGTCTGTTTCTTTGGATTATGGAATAGAATCCAAATTATCAGATATTCTGGATCCTGGAGAAAACAAACAAACAAACACACACTGGCATTAAGATTAAGATCTTAATAGAAGAAAGACAGTTTGGAAATGTAACTTCATCCTTAATTTTAAGCCAGTTCTTCACTATTCCCATATACCTGTCCATCATAACTGGCTGGCATCACATGATTTATCACAGATGGAGCTGCTAGCTGAGCAATCACATCGACATAGGGAGGATCTTTTAAAGAAGCATCAACTGGTTCCTTAGAAAATGTGAAGCAGTGCCAGGCAATGGCATTCTGTTCAGAAACAAAATAATCTATTTCAGAAAAGCTGATAATGCAATGTTAAACTACCATTCTAAAAATCTAGAGTGATTAATAAAAAAAAAGTTTACTTTCATAGAAAAAAATTAACCAAGAATAGTATTGGCAATGTCTATATTCCAAATCAATAAACTTTTTAAGATTTCCTACTATACTTTCCATACTCACAGCATTAATAACAAGTCTGACCGGCACAGTTGCATGCGTCCTGTTTATCATTTTTAATGGGAGAGCTTTCCAGCTTCCATAAGTCAAGTCACCAAAGTCAAGAAGGTCTTTCTTTTCTGTTTCTACCTAATGACAAAATTTTTAAATAAGTATCAATATATCACAAATTAAGGAGTCCTGGTGTGGGCTGTAGCATAATCATTGATCTACTTGTTGCAAAGTCAACAGTTTAAACCCACCAGCTGCTCCTCAGAAACACTATACAGGATCATTATGAGTTGGAACTAAGTCAATGGCACTTAACAAAAATAACCACAAATTAAGAGTTAGTAAAACGTTCCTAAATTTTCCCAGGCAGCTTTTCTATTTTCTACGAAAATACAAGGTAAGTTCTCCTTTTGAGGTAGCCTATTGGACTGCTAAGGAGCCATGGTAGGGCAATGGTTATGCTTTGGGCTGCTAACCATAAGGTCAGAAGTTCGAATCCAATAGCTGTTCTGCAGAAAGGCAAAAAAAAAAGAGAGAGAGAGAGGAGACTTTTTGCTCCTGTAAAGATTTATAGCCTTGGAAACCCTACACAGGGCTTCTATGAATCAGAACTGACCTGATGGCACACAGCAGTAGCATTGGACTGCTAATCATAAGGTTGGTAGCTCAAACCCACCAGTTGTTCCTCAGAAACCTAATAAAGGTTTCTACAAATTGGAACCAACTCAACAGCACTTAACAAAAACATGTACCAAAATATACTCCAGAGCAAAGGAGCATTTTAACTGCTGCTACTTTGAAAACATTTAACCACACTGACAATTTTATAAAGTACATAAATATCCTTTCAATGAGTTTTATTGTTAGAATTCATTTCAAAACATATATTGGCATTTTCAGATTTAATACAAATTTCTAAAAACATTGATGTTTAAAACTCTATCAAAACGGATATACGAAAAGTGAAAAACATTTAAAATTATGCCTACAGCATCCCAAGTACTATTCTAGGTGTTCACTCGTGATAGATTTTTCTAAACATTGGGACCACAGATCACCTGAATAGTGACCCTTGAACTGCTGCACCAACTTAACAACAACAACAAAAATCATTATTGGCCTAGTCAAACATAAAATAAGGGGAAATCAAACTCAGACTGGCTAGTGGAAGCTGACTTCTCTAGTGGCCCATGAGGTTTCTGGGTAAGATATGATTTGAAGCCTGCTGCATTCTATTTGATGTATTTGCTCTTGTTGTTAAGTGCCACGGAGTCAGTTCTGACCCATAGCAACCTTGTATAGGGTTTCTGAGAAGTGGCTGGTGAGCTTGAACTGCCAACCTTACGGTTCAAAACAACCTTGCAACTTGATGTATAATGCCTAGAAATTCAGAGATGTCCTTTTTCATGAGAAGGGAGCTAGATTAACTCTGGGAAACAACAATAAAGCTTGGCCAGATAGGTCCTAGTATGGAACTTCAAGCTCACTGACCCCTCTAGTGCCTCCCAGCATTTCCACAAAGGGCTCTCAGGACACTTTCACAAACCAGAACACACAAGCTTCCTACAACAAGGAACAGTGCCAATGAAAGTGAGCTGACATACAAAAATTTAAATTAATTAAAATACTAGATACCGCATGAAGTGTAGCATATTGGTTATGAGTCAGGCTGCTAAACTCAGGTCAGCAGTTCAAAATTACCAGTCACTCTTGCTGGAGAAAGATGAGGCTTTCTGCTCCCATAAAGATTTACAGCCATGGAAACCCTAAGCAGGGTTGCTATGAGTCAGAACTGACTCCATGGTATACCACCACCCCCATAAAACAATAGAAATAATTTTAAATTTCTGATGGAAAAATATTAAGAACTGCTAATTAATTGAAACTAACTTGGTGCCACATTTAACTGCAAATTCACTATTCCCAAATACTATTTTTAGGATTAATCAGCCTTTATCAAAATGTTAAGACACTGCAAAGATTTACTTATAGACATTTACCTCTATAATAGGGGTCTCTGCAACAGCAGTGAGAATGACTCTATTGGCTAAGGCTTCAGCTTGTACTATTGTTTCAGCATCTGCTGAAAATGGCCAAGCAGCAACACTGAATATACATCTGAAAATCCCAGGACTGGATGGTATAAAAAGTACTTTTATCTCTTCTGTGGCGTGAGGTCTTACAATGACTTTATTCTTGAAAACTAAACATGGATACATTGAAAGATCCACCTGTAAAAGAGCCACATGGTTCATTCACAAATAGCTTCCCATGGAAAAAGCAAGCAACATCAACTACTTTTTATTTTTCCTAGTCACTCAAACAAAAATATCTACACATTTTAATGCCTCTTCAAAAGTATTCAAATCTTATAACTTATTATGTTTAAAGTACAAATGGTCAATTGAGCTGTTCTCTCAGAGTTAAAATTTACTATGTTCTTTGTCAATTGCAGAGTAAGCAAATTTAGCTATACCCTCACTTTCCTTAAAAAGCACTGAAAATAGGAGCACTTCACAGGCCTATAAATTTTCTTTAATCCATTTTGCCACCAGAGATAAACCAATCATATTGTTATGGATAATAAATCTGATTTAACCAAGCTGTAACTAAAGGGGAAAATGATAAACTCAGTAGACCTTGGCCCTGATACTCATTCTGCTATTATAAAATATCAGGGTACCTTAGATAAATGAATTTAATTACTCTGGGACATATTTCTAAAAAATATAGGAGTGAAACTGATCTCTAAGTTTAGGCCTCACAGTCTATGATTATGACCAACTTCGATTCCCACCCCAAATGGGAACTTATTTTGGACTCCCACTTCCATGGATAACACTACGTTCTAGCTGCTCCTGCAAAGTCCTCAAATCTCATTTCCTTCTATCCTCACTACTTGCCACTTCCAATTACCTGCTTCTCCTCTAACCTCAATATCTGAAAGTTAAGAAAAGGCTAAGTAAAGAGAGAGGCAGGATAAAGAAAATCTTATTTTACCAGAAAATAAATGCAAATAGAATGTAAGAGGGCAGAGTGAATCTATCTACCAATATTGGTTTGCAAGTACCAGCAGCAACATGAAGCATTCGAAAACAGTGGCTGCTGACCAAATTTACCACCTTTCCTACCTACCAACTTTCAAATGGTCACTGTAATCAGAAAAGGAGTATTATTTAGATTCTAAAATTTTACCACGTGTAACTAACTGACCATAAGAGAGGCCCTTGCTAAAATAATTTATATTAAAACTGTAATTTTAGGTATTTAAAAAGAGCATGTAAGAAGATTATCGGTACATTGTTGTTGTTAGGCATCGACTCAGAGTGACCCTGTTACAGGGTTTCCAAAGAGCAGCTGGGAGGTGTGAACTGCCCACCTTGCGGTTAACAGTCCAGTACTTATACTACAGTGCCACACCGGGATACACCTTATTAAATAAAGAGTAACATCTTTCTTTTCTTTTGTGATAATTGACAGTAATTTCTTTCCAATCACATTTAACAAAATGTCCACTAAGTTGTTGTTTGTTGTTGTTAAGGGCCATCAAGTAGGTTCAGACTCCTAGAGACTCTGTATAGAGTTTCTGAGGCTTTAAATCTTCGTGGGAGCAGAAAGCCTCATCTTTCTCCTGTTGAACAGCTAGAGGGCTTAAATGCGGACCTTGTGGTTCACAGTCCAGTGTCTAGCGTACGGAGTTAGCTCTACAAGTAGAGGCCAGACACTCAAGAGAATTCATTGATTTAAATAGCACTAAAAGCAAGTATGCATGCTTTTATAAGTAAATAGCAATGAAACAATATTTAAAGGTAATAAAGAATGAAACATAAAAAGTAACATACAGATTTCACTTCTTATACTGGAAGCACTACAACCAAAAGGAGGTCAAGAAATTGTATTGTTCCAAAGACTGTGTACAGGGTATAAAAATACAAAGGACTGGGCAAGATTCCCTATTGTAAAAGAAATTACTAGAGAAAGGAGAAATCAAAAACTTAATCATAAAGTAAATATTAAAGTCAAATGGGAAAGATACACAAAGCTTACCTTTTCACCATTAACACTGACACTGAGCACCCTAATGCTGACCTGTACCCAGTGGTCAGCTGGATTCAAGACACTGAGATGGGTTTGGGAAACAATACCAACACAGCAAGCATGAGGAAACTTCAATTCCTCAGGTACTCTTACATTCCCTAGATAAGAATAAAGCATAATGAAAATGTAGATTATATTAAACACATGATTAGAAGTGCAACTGGTTAGATACAAATTTATCATAGAAACCCATTTATTTATTCTCAGGAATCCTTGACTGATGCAAATGGTTAATGCACTCAGTTGCTTACTGAAAGGTTGGTGGTTTGAGTGAAACTAGAGGCACCAAACAAGACCTAGTGATAAGCTTCTAAAAGTTCAGTCACTGGAGACTCTACAGAGCACAGCTCTAATGTGACACAAATTGGGTCGCCATGATTTGAAATCAACTCAATGACAAGTTTGGTTTTGGTTTATTTGTATAAGTGCCTTAAATTTATAAGGAACCTTGAAATTACATGAGGGTAAACTAGGGTCCCAGTTCATTCATGCACAGATTTATTCCAAACAAATGGGCTTAAACGTATCTCTGTGATCAGTGGATGGCAGCAGACAAATTCTCTCAGTAACATATTTGCCTAAGACTTGTTAGGGTGTCTTCAAAAATAAGGCCCAATCAAAACAGAGGCTTCCAAGGGGATCTGCTGGTCCAGTTAAATTGAAATTGACTTAATAGCAAGTTTGGTTTTATTTGTATAAGTGCCTTAAATCTATAAAGAACTTTAAAACTGTACAAGGGTAAATAAAAAAGTATTGCTACTAGGGTTCCAGTTCACTCATGCACAGATTCATTCCAAACAAAATGCGATTAAACATTCTTTCAAATTTTCTGTGATCAGTGGATGGCAGCAGACAAATTTTCTCAGTAACACATTTGCCTAAGTCTTGTTAGAGTATCTTCAAAAACAAGGTGCAATCAAAACAGTGGCTTCCAAAGGGATCTGCTGGGCCAGTTACATTCAAAGCAGAGAGGTCAGCTTAGAAGGTTATGTTGACTGTTTTTAAAGAATCCATTGGGGTAACCTTAATAGATATTCTCAAAGAACACAGGATGTTCATGGGGGATTTTTATGAAGTTTCAAGAAAATTGCATGGGTGAGAAAAAGGCCAGGAAAACTGTGCTGAGCAATTCTTTCCTATCACAACAACGAACCTCCTGATTCTATAAGGGTAAGAAGTACTGTTCTATGAGAATTTCCTTAGAAAGCTTGCCCTTTGCACTCTACAGTCCTAATATTGCTCCTTCAGATTTCTTTTTTGCTCCCAAAATTCAAAGATCACTGAAAAGGGGCTGAATTGAGTCTGTCGAGGATACCAAAACTACCGTTTTGAAATGGTATAAAATCAAAGGTGCAGAGTTCTTCAGGGACAGCTAAGAGAGATGGAAACAGCATACCTTCAGAAGTATACAGACTAGGTTCAGAAACAATAGCTTCACATTTTGATATTTTCATTTAATAAATATTTCTATGATTGTTTAACAGTACTTTTGGTATTACCCTCATATAAGCTTCAGAATAGTCCTGCCCACAATTTTGTCTTCTGCACCCAAAATCCATTAAAATTGGCCAAGCTCATGATTTCCAGCTAATCAACTCTGAAATTATAACTTGGTAATCATCTCTTCATTTTTTTTTTTCCTCACAAACTATAACCACTGTCTCTAACCTCAGAAGAAACTACAGTGGCTACAACTTCAAGATGTGCCTACATACATTGTTATTCCTGTTAAGTGCCATGGAGTCAGTTCCGACCCATAATAACCTTGTATACTGTTCCCAAGGAGCGGCTGGTGAGATTGAACCACCGACCTTGCGGTTCAAACCAGCCTTGCAGTCAAGTGCTTATCTACCAGGACTCCATGTACCTACTTTGGAGTGTATAAAAACAACTGCCAATACTTAACCATCCTTATGCTGTTACTTCGGACTTTCTTCCCTCTTTTTTATAAGGAAAAGGCAGTAGAGGAAAAAATAACACTCCTGCACCCATGCATCTGTTATCAGAAAAAGTACAGTGTACATTTCTAGCTTAGCAGATTGACCATGATCAGGAACAACCACAGAGAAACAAGTGGACTTGAAAGAGAGTCAGGGTATAGTTCAGCCACTACACAGTCGAGTAGAAGTGTTGTCATTCACTGCCTCACAGTTACTCTTGGATGCCATAACAAAAAATAGCACAAGTGGGTAGATTTAAAGAAATGGAATTTATTGTCTTGCAAATCTGGAGACTACAAGTGCAAATTTACTAGGACTAGATAGTCTCCTTCCTTTCCCCCTTCTCTGTGGGTTGTAGAAGAAGATCCTTGTATCTTTCTGCTGCTATCAATTCTTGGCATTCTTGCACTTGCAGATGCATCTGCTGTGCAGTCTATTGTCTATTCTGATCTTTTTATAAGACACCAATCAGAAGAGATTAGATTTACAACCCACCGTACTCTGATATGATATCATTAATGTAACAAAAGAAAATCCCTATTTCTAAACAGGATCATATTTACGATACAGAAGCTAGAAACTCAATATTACTTTCTGGGGGACACAAATAAATCCATAACACTCTCGAAAAGACTTAAAAGGTGAAAGGTTACTCATTCATTCAGGAATCTAACTCTAACCTGGATATTTCTTAGTTGAAAGAACAGCAGAAACCCAAGGCTGAGAAAAGAGAGCAATAAGGAAGATAGAAGCATAAAGAACTTTTCATCTGCATGAATTTTAGACTTTTTTAATGGCAATTTTTCAGGGATTCTGACACAGATGTATACATGACCTATTTTCAACTCCGAATAAAGGAAAAAGTCTAATACTAAAAGAAATTAAGGCCAACCAGTATTATCTTCACACACGTTAGCTTTGTGGTCTTGTTTTAAAAAACTCAATTTTTAAATAATAGCAACAATGAGCAATAACAGAGAAAAGTATCTTACCAACTTCTGGCATCCTTCCTGAATCCCATGGTCCAATTCCACAGCTTGTAGTAACAGACTGCACAGGAAGAGGTTTTGCTGTACTTAGAAGATTCTGACTTAAGGCATTCGAATATGAGTTATATAGGGAAGCAGTGCCCATCAATCCAGAACTTAAATTTTGTCCTAGACAAATTCCTACAGCCACTGAGTTCTGAACACGTGTATCCGGTAGATCAGGATGAGGACAGCCTCCTAAGAAACCACATACTGTAGCACCACCAACATGACACGGAGGCAAAGCAACATTTCCAGCTGAAGGCAGGGCCCCCAAATATTGCTGGGCAAAAGGTGTGGTGGTCGGAGAACGTCCAGTCAAGAGTACAGGGACAGCAGCAGACAAGTGCTGCATGTCAGGAGCAGAGCCACAGCTGTTAAAGCTGGTGATAGGTGCACACTGGTTGCCAGGTACCATCTGGTTAGGAATTTGGCCATTTAATTCACTGTTGGGTGTGAACTTATCTTTAGAAGTCATTCTTAAATCTTTGTTAACAGATTCTGGGCATGATATGGAGAGATCAGCAGTATTTGACAAAGTCTGATGGCTGAGACATGACCTTCTGGGTAAAGCCATATTATTCTGGCCCAATTCATGAGAGTTTGATACCATATCTAAAGGGCTGGTTTCAGAGAAATCTCCGCTTTGGGAAGAAGAATCTTTACACACTCTCAAATTAGGTTTTACATCTTCAGTTTTGCTACTCAGAAGAGCAGTTTCAGTCACTTTTTTCTTATCCAAGTTGTTCTGAATAACATAAGATAACGTTCTTGTTTCTTTTCCTTGAAATGGGACATTTTCTTTCAAATTTTCCACAGTGTGTTCCTCTAATGGTGTTGGACTGGCACAAATAATTGTGGTGCTCAACTCACTGGTGATATCATTCTGAGTGTAAGAAAAAATTTCTTAAGTAGTCCACACCTAAACCAAGTATTATAAATGTAAAAACCATGCTGAAATAACCTTAAATAATATAATAAAAAGGTGTACATAATATTATTTCTCTGAAAATTTTTATTTATACAAAAGTCGTTTTGTAGCTGTGAAATGCAGGTTTAGAAGTTCAAAATTTTACATTCATTTATTTTGTAAAAATAATTATAATGAGTAAACTAAATAGACAATTGTTGTTGTGGTTGCTAAATGCCATTGAGCTGGTCTGACTCATAGTGACACTGTATAGGGTTTCCAGGGAGCAGCTGATGAGACTGAACTGCCAAACTTGTGGTTCAAACCAACCTTTCAGTCCACTGTTTTATCCCACAGAGTTTATAGCAATTATGTCTCCGAAAACATTTACATAAATAAAGGAATGGAGACAAGTAATTTTTTTTCATTTTAAGGAATTTTTTACAATATTAATAAAAATCTAATTAATGACAAAGGGGGAGTGAGCAGGCTTTCAAATGAAGTTAACCTGAGATTAGGAATCAACACAAAGTCAATGCAGTCTCCATATCCCTGACTTGTCTATACTGCTATGTGTGCTTAAAAACTAGAAGACGTCTTTTCCAATGTCTAAACTCAGTGGTTCTACTTTGTTAAGTATGAAGCATGGTAGGCACTTTAGGATCAGTACTGGACTTTGAAATACAAGGTTAGCAGTTCAAACCCACCAGTTGCTCTTCAGAAACTCTACACAGGGTTGCTGAGTAAAACTGACTTGATGACGCTTAACAACAATGTGAGTTGTGCTCATATATTCATTTCTTTATAGTACACAACCTGAAATATAGCATGCATAACTTTCAAGGTAACATTTACAATACTGTGATAAGGACTAGATGGAATTTATATACAATCTAAAATATTCTTACCCTTTACTGACAATTATTTTTGACACAATTATTTCATGGACCAAAGCTGTAGAAACAAAGTAAGAAGCAAAGACCAGATTTTTTTGTCAGTTGCCAATCAATGCCCATAAGAGCAGCAGTCAAGCAATCAAGCAACACATTGAAAGGGGAAGATCTGCTGCAAAACACCTCTCTAAAGTTTTAAAAAAGTAAAGATGCCACTTTGATGACCAAACATATAGTCTTTTCCAGTCTCAGATGTATGAAAAATACCAGTCTCATATGCATACAAAAGTTAAACAACAAAGAAAAACTGATGCATTCGAACTGTGGTATTGGCAAAGAATACTGAATATACCATGAATTGCCGAAAAATTAACCTGTTTTCTTTCTAATAAAATGAAGGAACTCCTTAATGAGACAACTGACACAGTAATCACAATAACAAATTAAAACATAATAATTGCCATGAAGATGGTTCAGGACTGGCAGTGCCTCATTTAAAAGGATGCTGATCTTGAATTGAAGCTGACTCAACAGTAACTAACAACAACATAGCTAATATTAAAAAGTAATAAAAATGAATATATATTCAGTGTTTATTTATGAGGTGCAAATCACTACTCACATTATTTTCCTCTTTATAGATGAAGAAACAGACTAAGGAATGTTTAATAATTTGTGTGAGGCAGTAGCAGAGAAGGGCTATCTGACTCTAATAATGTAAAGATCTAATATGAAACAACGTTAAAAACAGTTTTCCAGCAACAAAGAAAAACATATATTTACACCAATGTTCACTGTATAATGATTCACAATAGTCAAAAGGTAGAAACCATCTGAATGCTCCTAATGGATTAATGGAATAGATAAACAAAATGTGATATATACCTACAATGGAATTCTACTCAGTCAGAAAGAAAAATGATGTCTTAATGCATGCTACAACATGGATGAAGCTAGAAGAGTGAAATAAAGCAATCACAAAAGGACAAATCTTGTAATCTTGCATGACCTCACTTATATGAAAACACAAGAACAACAGCAACAACAAAAATCACATATAAAGTTACATTATGTATGCATGAATACTTGTGCATAGGTATCTATACGTATGTATGCATGCATCCATATATATATATGGATGTGTGTGTGTGCATGTATATAAACTAGTATATATAATAAAGCACATAGGGGGCACAGTTACATTTGCAGGATTGATTTTCTGGATTTGAAGACCATAGTCTTATGAGACAACTTGGTTAATTGACATAACATCATGCATAAAGTTTATGTGCTATATCCTAGTTTTGTGAGAAGTGTCTAGGGTCTTACAAGTTTGCAAACAACTATTGGTCTCTACTTGTCTAGAACAAAAAAAAAAAAAAAAAAAGGAAAACTGACTCAAAAAACAACCTATTTACAGGACTAATGTCTATACAAACCATGCTATCATCTACCCTGAGACCAAAACTAGATGTAGCCTAGCTACAATTACTGATCACTTTGACAGCACATCACCACCACCACCACCCTATGAAGAGTCGCTATGAGTTGGAACCGAATCCATGGTCCATAACAACAACAACAACAACAATATATGGACCTTTATTTGAAGGGGAAGAAAATATGGAACGGTACTTACTAACAACAACTTACCAAAGTATAGTTGTTGTTGTTGTTGTTAAGTGCCGTCAAGTCGGTTCCGACCCATAGCGACCCTGTACAGGGTTTCCGAGGATGTAAATCTTTACGGGAGTAGAAAGCCTCATCTTTCTCCCGCGGAGCAGCTGGTAATTTCGAACTGCTGACCTTAAGGTTCACAGTCCGATTCGTAACCACTATGCTACCAGAGCTACCATAGTATTGAGATACCCTTTAAACCTTAAAACAAAACTAGCCCATGGTTGTCTTTTAGTTAAGTAAAAGACTGACTGACTCATAAAATAATGAATACTGCCAGTGAATACTGTGCATCATTAAAAGATCATCTGCTGTTGTTGTTAAGTGCCATTGAAACAGATGATTAAAAAATACTTTAAAGCAAAAATGAAAAGGTATGAGGACAGGAAAACCAGATTACTGAAAACAAAACATTCAGAATGAAATGAGAATGCTGATACACTGTATAAAAAAGGTAATCTATGTCACTAAATGATCTGTGTAGCAATTGTTAAATGAGAAAATAATTTGTTGCATGAATTTTCACCAGAAACACAATAAATTATCACTAAGAAACACACACACACACACACACACACACACACACACACACACAGAGGCAAATATACAGAGGACTAGGTTTATTAGCTATTACCAGACGCAGAAGAGATTGGAAAGAGAGAATTACTGCTTCTGGAGCGCAGACAGTGATGGAAAACAAATCATATTGAAGGGCTGGAGAACCAAATTAATGTAATTGATGTTAAGTTCTACATTGATAAAAAGTAGAATTGGCAAATGTTGCATAATAGATAAATTTAAAGTGCTCTGGTAGCACAGTGTATTATGATAAGGTGTCTGTTACATTGCTTTATTAAATTCCCACTTTAGAAATGAAAATGTCCAGTGATATGTTGTTTACAGGAAGCACTGTTACTTCCTTGAGTTTCACTATAATCTAAAAGCGTTTCCTTCAGGAATCTGACTTTCTGTAAGTTATACCTTTCCATTGAAAGTTCACAAAGCATGTCAGAGTAAATATACTGCCAGGCAGAATGCGGGTCCTAAAAAAGCCCCAGAAGTTACACTCATCTCCAAATACTATAAGGGATGTGCTGGTCAACAAGCATCTGCCAGGGCAGGTGGTAGGAAGTACTGCCAAAGTACTGAACCACTGATGTCAGTAAGGGTGCCTGAGTTCACAGTCATAGGGCTAGGTGGGTGCAGTTATCCTAACAAGTGGCAAGGCAGGATGGCATTCAAGTCTTGTGCCCCAAGTCAGGGAGACATTTCACAGAATGTGGCATGCCTGGGGCAGAAGAGATGGACCACTAACACTAATATTGTTCAATCTGTAAATGCAAATGAAATCAAGGATGGATGACTAGCAGGCTAGTTTTAAAAAATCACGTTGGTGTGCCCAGTTTCCAGGTCTGTGCCATGTTTGCACCTGGAACACATGGACTGAGGAGAAGCCAGTGCTCAAAATAATAATTTCCTTAGTACTTACCTAAAGGGACCAATGGCCATTTAATTTATGACAGTGTGCTGGGGAAAGGGTATACCCAAACATTTCAAGCATTCATTGTCAATAATTTAAAAATATTAATTACATGTTGAAATGAAAATATTTTGGATATATTGGGTCAAATAAAACATATTATTGAGTTAAAAAGTAAGGGTGCAGTACGTTTACATTAATGGTGAACGAACAATTCATAAAAGGAGGTACGAATGGTTGTATAATTTGAAAATTTAAATCAATGTCAGTTAGTCATATATGTAGAAATTATTGAATTGGCAGTTCTACAGTATAAATTCTCAATAACAACAAAATACAATAAATGAAGGGGGGAAAAAAAAAGAAAAGGCATGAAACTATACAAGGATATTCTTTACCACCATTCCCAGTTAATATTGTGCTGGAAATCCTAGCCAGAGCTATAAAGCAAGAAAGGGAAATAAAGGCATACAAATTAGCAAAAAAAGACAAACTCTCTCTACTTGCTAACATGGGCGTCTATACATAGAAAATCCCAAGATTCAGCAAGAAAATTACTGGAACTAATTGAAAATTCAAGAGATAATTGGATAGGATATACCATATTCATGGGTAGGAAGACTTCTTAAAATTGTGAAAATGTGAATTCTATTCAAGATGATCTACAAATATAATATTTACTTGATATGGCTTTGCTATCCAAGACTCTCTTAATCTCCCACCAAGTGATTGGGTGGGACCACAAAAATAAGGTATACAGAACTCTAAGGCTGGAATTAGTTTGTTTTGCCATACTGCTAGGCTTGAAAGAAGCCATCTCAGAAGCAGGAACAGAAGATCCAAGGACTAACAAGAAAGAAGAGCATGAGTTGAGTATGAGATCCCTACCGAGAAAAGAGATAAGAGGAGAGGTGGTGGCAGAGGCT